CTATCTGTTACATTATATTGACTTATTATCAAGTTTTTATAAAACCATATAGACTGCACAACGTCACAAGCACACACCTAATTTTTGTGCCAAGGTTATTAATAAAAGTATTGAGTAAGATTGGTCCCTAGACTGATCCCTGAGGAACTTCACTAGTATCCTCTCTCCAGTCCAATAATTCACCTTTCAGCACAACCCAGTGCTGTTTCCCCTTCGGCCAATTTCTTATTCGCCTTACAATGCTTGTACCGATCCCCATCTTCCCTAATTTAACTAATAATTTTATGTTTGGTCAAATGCTTTACTGAAGTTCAATTTTATTCCATCTTTTAGATAAGCAAAGTGCAGTAAACGTTATTTTCTCAAAAGATGAAATTAGGTTAGTCCAGCATGATCTACCATTGGTAAACCCTTTACCATTTACCTGTATGAATTTAATTATTCTTTCCTTCAAGATTTGTTCTTAACCCTTGCATACCACTGAGGTCAGTCTAGCAGGTTTGTAATTGCTGGATCACTTTTTTCCCCCTTTCTTAAAAATAAGTACAACATTAGCTGTTCTCAAGTCATATGGTTCTACCCCTGAGTAGATAGATTTATTTCCTTAAATCCTTGCTACTGGACTCGCAATCTCACGTGCCAGTTCTTTCAGTATTCTGGGAGGGAAGTTATCTGTTTTCCCCCACTCCCGTTTTCACCCAACTTGAACGCATCAAGCTCTTTAAGTTTTTCTTCCACCTCAATTGTGGTAATTTCCATTTCTGGACATTCATTTTCATCAGTCATGGTGCCTTCATGCACATGTTCCATATGATCATAATAATTGAAAACTGAGGCAAAGTATTCATTTAGTTTTTGGGCAATACCTAGATTATCTTTAGTCTTCTTCCTATCTACACTGCATAGCTGCCAACATCATCCTTCCTTTTTCTTTTTTTATTTATATAACTAAAAACCCTCTTATTTTAATTTCTTTGGCAAGAGCTAATTCAGCTTGATTTTTAGAAATTCTCACTTTATTCCTGCATTTTCTAACCTCCATGAGGTTTTTCCTTGGGATGCAGATTTCTTAGATAGTTTTTGTATAGTTCATTTGAAGAAATTCCAAGCCTCCACATTTAAGTCATTGAGCTCTTCAGTCCAGTTGATTTCTTTGGGAAATTAAGGTTATTAGTTAAAATCTGCCCTTTTAAAATAAAAAAACATAGTTGACAACCTGGTTTTGATTATCCTATTTAATATATTAATTTGTGATCACTTGATCCAAAGCTATTTCCTACAACCAGCTCTTCTACTTACTAAAACTAAGTCTAAAATTGCATCACCTCTTGTTGGTCCAGTGACAATTTGAAGAAGAAAACTGTAATCTATCACATCCAGGAATAACTGGTCCCTATGAGTGTTAGTAATATTTATTCTCCAATCTATATCAGGGAAGTTAGTCTCCCATTATGATATAATTTCCAAAACTATTTATCGCTGATATTAAAGGAGCTTGCTATCCATATCCGAGTCTGACCCTTGGGGGAGAAGAGACTAGAACAGACCCCTAACACTATCCCAACACACCTCTTTTACAATCCTTCCTCAAAGTGATTGTGACCCAAATAAATTCTGCATGTTATCCTCCATTTTCCTTAGGCTTGGGTCCATCATCTCTTCCTCTTTTCTGCAGGAACTGGCTTCCTTTCTTTTCTTTCTTGCCACCACATCTTCTGCCTGTTTTTAATTCTCATTCTTCAGTGCAGCAAAACTGTTACTCAACTCAATTTCACCACCGCTAGGTGGTCTCTTCCTCTGCTTTGTCTTTATGGTTACGTTTTCCCATGGATCTGGCAGTCCTCCCTTTAGCTCCTTTTGTTTGGCAGGTGTCCGCAGATCTTTAGTTGCTGTACCACCTTCTCTGTCCTCTTGTGCATTATACCTTCAAATCCCCTTTTAAATTCCATCATCATCTCCAGCTTCATCTCTAATCCTTGGATCCGCTCTGCCAAGTGACGTTTCACGCATAAGTAGCTTCCACCAGATACTCCCTCAATGATGATGTACGTCCCCCAGCTTCTGCATCTAACCATCTTCTTTCCTCTCCTCTCCTCTCCTCAGTAGGAGCCTCAGTAACAATCATTGTTTTCTCTTCCTAGATACTGTTCACTGCTCCAATGTTTGTTAGTAACTGGCTTTTAAATCTGGCCAGACTAAGTCAGCTCCACCCCCTTATTAAGGAATATTAGCAAGCACATTTAACATAAACATTCTTTAGAAGACGTGATTGTGCTTTATGAAATCTAATTATGAATATTTCCTATAAAGCTCTTATTGGAAAATACAGTAAACACTTATGGCCCAGATTGTGCCAAGCCCTTACATGGGCATGTGCAGGTAAATGGAGAAGTAGTACAGTGGTACTTCTGCCATGTTCAATGTGCACCAGAGAGGGTGGGCCATGTTGTTTTCACTCCTCTGCACTGTCCTTCAGACTTGTACCAGCACCAATACCATTGAGGATAGCAATGCTAAGATACCCCCTACATTGAGGGAACTCCAGGAGGTACCCTGTGTCCAGAAGGGGAGCTTCTTGGTGCAGAGCAATCTACACTGGTCCCAAGACATGGCTGTGCCATAGAGGCACAACAGATCCTGTAACTAGCACTGTTCGTCACTCTGACAGTTTCACTATTTAAATGTTTTCACTTTTAATGATTTGATGTGGCACATTACTTCCTTGCCTTTTGCTGCACATGTATTTGGAAGGAGCGTTTCATCAAAAGGCATTAATTCTGTTTGTGTGGTGTAAATTATATGTGTAGGGCAGGTTACAGCAGGAGTTATGTAAAATTACAGATGTTGTTTTATTGATTGGGAAGCATTTGAGTATTAATCCCTTACAATTGATAGATGCCCTCCAGTAATGCTGCAAATGTGTTACACCCACACATTTTTGGCCTATTATCTTTCAGGGCCATTCAGTTTCCCATAGAGTTAATCTTATTTGTCGGGTTTGAACTGTAACAATTTTTCATGATATTTCTATCTCGGGTTCTCAAACTGGGGTCGGACCCCTCAGGGAGTTGCGAGATTATTACATGGGGGGTTGCGAGCTGTCAGCTCCACCCCAAACACCGCTTTGCCTCCAGCATTTATAATGGTGTTAAATATATTAAAATGTGTTTTAATTTATAAGGGGGGTTGCGCTCAGAGGCTTGCTATGTGAAAGGGGTCACCAGTACAAAAGTTTGAGAACCACTGTTCTATCTGAAGTAATTCCAAAATTTTAAAGTTGCAGTTGAAATGTATTCACCTCGTCCTGGTGAATTTCTAAGAATATGAACATCTCTGGGCATTCAGTTCTTTTGAACTCTTTCATATGAGATGCATATTTCTATAGGACAGGTGAATTGGAATGGAAGAAAGGTATTCCCTATTCATTACATTACTTATATTTAGGGATTTAAATGAAAGATAAACTGTCAAGATGTAGCTAAATGGCTCAAACGGGTTAACTGGTTCAGCTAGATCAGGTTCTTTATCATGTCAAATTTGATTGAATGTGAACAGCGTAATGTGTTCCTACAGGAATGTACCCAGTAGACCAGTCGGAATATAACAACCTGAAAAGTGCTATAGAAAAACTGACACTAAATGATTCCAGTGTAACTATTCATCGGGATAGCAGCCTTGCCTTAGGAGCTGGATGGAGGTGAGAAACAATTACTACACTTTAATTTTAGGAAGTGTCTTATAATATACATGGGAACTTGTTGATGGTATAGATCTTTTACTTCTGGGGATTTTAACTCTAATTAATATTAGGCCTAAAGTGAGTACTTGATCTTAATTCTAGTCCATATTCGTATACAGCACACAATTTGTCTTGATTGGCAGTCTTCCTTCAAGAGAAGCCCTGGAGTAGAGTTGGGAGAAATTTCTCAGATAAATAGTGGATTTACAAAAAAGTTCAGTTTTTGGGGTGTGTCTCTTTGCATGTCTGTCTCACTAACCACTGGGCTAAGGGTTATAACATAATTGGGCATAGAGGAGATTTGAATCCACATCTCTGACCTACCCTAGCTACCACCCAGGTGAGTGCCGTAATTGCCAGGCTATAGAGCCGTTTTCACTCTCTGGCGCAATGAGTATTTATACAAAATGGAACAGGAGAAATTGAGGGCAACCCATTCTAGAATTGTCTATAGCCTGGTGGTTAGCATACTCATGAGGGTGGGTGGAGATGCCCTGCTCCAGAGTGGGGATTGAAACACCCCCTCCCCCCACTCACCCCCATTTGCTGGCCAAACCACACCAAAAAAAAACAAAACCCAAAAAATTATTTGCTCAGCTCTATCCCGGATTCAAAGGGCACGGATGTCATTAGTCAGGATTAAGGATTGCCTTTACTGTGCTTGACATTGCCAAATCATTTAGTCTCCTAGTACTGTATTAATGATGTAAAATAATACCGTAGGAATACGGTGCACATTTTGAATAACTAAAGGTTTTTTTTTTTTTCAGGTTGGGGTTTCTTGGTCTTCTACATCTGGAAGTTTTTAATCAGCGCTTGGAGCAAGAATACAATGCATCTGTCATTTTGACTGCACCCACTGTTCCATATAAGGCTGTTCTTTCCTCAGCAAAATTGATAAAGGTATTTTAATTGATTTACAGGAGCTTGAAATGAACATCAGCCTAAAACATTTTCTAAGCCAGTAAAATAAATTGTAGATCAGTATCTTCTTATAGGTGAAGCAGCAGCATCGTCTCCCTTGTTTAGGTTCCTTAGCACTATATGTTAGAAAAAATCTTCAGGCTGTGGGTTCTTTCTTTCTCCTCCTCTCTCGCCCCCCC